GTAATGAGTATCCCTAACTCATTCCCAACATCATAGAGAAAATCCTCAGTATTTCACCATTACATGTGATGTTGGGGCTAGTTTTTTTGTAGTTACCCTTTGTCAAAAGTACCCTAGTTTGCTAAGATTAAATGGTTATTTGACTTTTTCAAATACTTTTATTTATCTGCTGAGATGATTCTGTGTTCTCTTTTGATCTTTGTTCCCTTAGCATGGAGAATTATAGTGATTTCTTTTCAAATGTGAAATCAACTTTTTACTCCTGGAATAAACCAAATTCAGTAATGATATAGCATCTTTTTTATGTATAACTGCATTTGATTTGATAATATTTTGTTTGGGGAGTTTTGCATCTAGGTCAGAGAGAATTTGAATTGTATGTTTTTCTTCTTCTAATTTCTTTGTCAGGTTTTGGTACCTGAATATTTGTATTAAGGTTATGTTGACCTTAAAAAATGAATTGAGAAATATTTCATTTTTTTATATTTCCTAGTAGAGACTGTGGAAAGTCAGTATTGTCTTGTTTAAATGCTTAGAAGGATTCAATATCTGGGCCTAGAGATTTCTTTGTGGGAATGTTAATTACAGATTCAATTTCTTAATAGATATAGAAGTATACAGATGTTTTATTTCTTCTTATGTCAGTTTTGGTAAGGTGTGTTTTTCTAATTCACTTAAATTGTCAAATTGCAGTGGCATTAAGTTGTTTATAATATTCTACTGTTATCTTTTCAATGCCCATAGGGTCTTGCTTGGCACTTATCAATTTTATTAACCTTTTTGAAGAAACAATTTTGGGCTTTGTTGATTTTCTTTATTGTAATTTTGTTTTCTGTTCATTGATCTTTTGCTTTTTGTAATTTTCTTCCTTCTGCTTTCTTTGAGTTTGGTTCGCTGTTTTTTTCCTAACTTCTTGAGATGGATGTTTATATCATTGGATTCCATCCTCTATAATTTTCTAATATGTCTGTTTAAAGTTGTCCAGTGGGTAAGACTCCACACTTCCACATTGCAGGGGGCATAGATTTAGTCTCTGGTCTGGGAACTAACATCCTGCATGCCACAAGGCATGGCCAAAAAAGAAAAAGAGAAAAAGCTGGTAGTTTTTGCCTTACCAGAGCTTTAGCCTCTTACCATACTTTTTGATATGCTGTATTTTTATTATCATTCATTTAAATGTATTCCTACTTTCCCTTGTGATTTTTTTCTTAGTTTCCAGGCAGGTTTTAAAAGATTTTAAAATCATCATTATTGATTTCTAGCATAAATGCATTATAATTAGAATATATATTGTTTAGTATTAATCCTTGAGATTTTTAAAAACTTATTTTATGACCCATTTTAGATCATATATGGGTCCCATGTGCACTTGAAGAAATTTGTACATATACCGCTATCCTCAGTGCAGTGGATTCCAATCTATTGTTAAACATTCTAATAGCAAACAAATTAAACTTACTGTGTTGCTTAAATCTTTATACTCCTATCACTTTTTTGTCTGCTTGTTTTATTAGCTACTGAGAGGGCTTGTTAAAATATTCCACTATATTGTGAATCTATCCAGTCTTCTTTTTAGTTTTTTGATTTGAGTATTTTAAAAGTATGGTATTATGTGCATATGAATATAAAATTGCTGTATCTTCCTGGTGAATTAGCCTTTTGAAATCTCTTTTTTATAGGACACGATACCAAACAATGAAATGATACATATTATTTTCAAAAGCATATAGAGTATTCAATCATAAAATGATTTCAAGAAATAGAATGGTCAAATATAGAATGATTTGCAATTATTCATCAAGGGTTTTTGACCACTGTGGAATTAAGCTAGAAAACCTCTAACAGCTAAGAAATTCAGCACTATATGCAGTTTAAAAAAATCAGATTGCTTTCATTTATTTTAAATAAACTTTTAAAAAATTTAATTAAAAATACTTAATTGAATTATAATTGATCTTCAACACTATGTTAGTTTCTGGTGCTCAGCATAGTGATCACAATATTTGTATGTGTAACAATATAATCACTTTGAATTAATCTTTTTATTGAAAATTTTCTCTTTATTCCTAGTTATTCATCTCAACTTTAGGATTACTTGACTTAATAGCTTAATATTAGTATTGATATAACCATACCACCTTTTTTTTTTGGTTAGTGGTTTTTTTTTTTTAATTCTTTTACTTTCATCTTTCTGTGTCCTTATGTTATGGAGTAGCTAATATAAGCAACATATAGCTGTTTTATTTTAATGCACTCTGACAAGCTAGGTCTATTATTGGAGTGTTTAATCCATTTATATGTAATTAATTACTGACTTGGTTTTTTAACTATAATATTACTATTTTTTCTATTTGTTTTCTTCCCCCCTCCTTTCCTGCCTTAATTTGAACCAATCAACTTCTTTTTAGTGAAACCAGTTTCTCTTTTATTAATTTGTTAGTTATATCTCCTTTTAGTAATTACTCTGAAAATTAAGACATATCTCCTTTGTTTATTTGAGTCTAATATAAATCAGTATTTTTACAATTTAATCAGACATTCTTGGGCCTATTACACTGTAATTTATCTTTCTTTAGCCTTTTGTTTTTAATGTTGATTCATTTAAACCTACATATATTTAAAACCCCATAGAAAATTATTGTTATTGTTTTCAATATTCATTTAGATTTACTCACTACTTTTCCTGTGACTCTTCAATCTTTTCTGCATTTCTGTCTAGGATCATTTTCCTTTTGCCTAAATAGTCCTCTTTGGTATTTAATTTAGTTGGATCCCGTGAGTTTTATTTTGTTTAAAAATATCTTTGTTTTACTTTTTATTAGCTACATTGTGTGGTATGCAGGATCTTAATTCCCAGACCAGGGCTAGATCCTGTGCCCCCTGCATTGGGAGCGCAGTCTTAACCACTGGACTTCCAGGAAAGTCCTCTTTATTTCTTTTTTGTATTTGAAGAATATTTTCAGTATTATAGAATTCTAACTTGGACATAAGTTCCTGTCTTTTTGTTTCCATCATCTCTGTTGAAAAGTCAATTCTCATTCTATCACTTTCTTGCAGTTAATGTCTTTTCTTTTTTTCTGATGCTTTTGAGAAAAAAATTTTTTTTTGTTTTTTTTAAATTAAAAAATATTATTGCAAGCATGTTGTTAATGGTAAAATAAAAGACAATCTCTTAAAACCTTTACTCTTTCATTTGTTCTCAGATGAGGAAAATTTTTTATATTTTTATTACACTGTGATGCTTTTCTTTGTATTTTTCCTGCTCGGGGTTCTCAGAAGTTCCTGAAAAAAATTTATTTATTTGGCTCCACCAGGTCTTAGTTGTGGCACACAAGATATTTGTTGCCACATGTGGGATCTTTAATTGCGGCATGTGGGATCTAGTTTCCTGACCAGGGATGGAACCCAGCACCCCTGCATTTACAGCATCGAGTCTTAACCATTGAACTATCAGGATAGTCCCTCAAATAGAATTTTTGGATGTTTGTATTTTATCCAGCTTTTCCAGTAATACTTGTTGGGAATATTGTCTGCCTCAGTTACTCCATCGCGGCTGCACTTGAAAGTTCCTTGACTTTTGTTTTTCTTCTGAATACTTTCTCTTATACAACCTTTGTATTTTATTTATGCTTCTGGTCCTTTGTGGTTTCTCTTTCTGCATATTGCCTACCCGGGCTGCTGGTCTTGCATCAGGGCAGTGTGTTCAGTGTAATTGGTGTCTCTTGTGGTTGTGCGATGTGGAGGCTCTGTCATTCACCCTGTGAGGCTCAGCATGATCTGGCTCTGTGCTTATTCTCTGAGACACTTTGCAGCCTCTCAGCATTGGCAAATATGCTTAGAACCCAGAATGGGCAAGGGAGATCTTCTGGGAGGCCTTTCTCAACACTTCAGCCAAGTCCTCTTAGAAAATTCTCCTTAGCATGTTATATTATTTCTTCCCAGTGCTTCTCACAAGTGTCCTTTCCCACTGATTCGTGGAACTGACTTAATAATTTTTCTATTCTCCTCCAGAATGTGGTCTGAAATGTGAAAACAGTGACCTTGCTGGTCATGTTTACCACTATATTCCTTGTGGCCACCACAGTGCCTAGCCCACATTTAACAAATCAATTTGAGCATTATAATGATGGGTGATGAAAAGGAGGGGATAAGAACCAACATTCATTAAAAATTTATCATTTTATTTAACCTTATCATCTGATTTTAAGGTTCACCTTAACTCTTTGAGGCAGATGGCGTTTCCATTTTGCACAGGGTAGACCATGACTCAGAGAAGTTATGTTATTTCCCCAAAGTCACGTGGTTGATAAGTGCCCAATCTAGAATTCAATCCTAGTCCTACCTGATTCAGAAGGAACCCCAGCATTATGAGTTGTCAAATACTTCTCATTCTTCCAAGCTTTTTGTGTTTTCTTCCTTTTTTATTGACTTTTTAATTTTTATCTGAAACTGCTAGAATTTTGGATACTCCTAAAAAAACTCCAAAAAAAAGGAAAAACAAGAAAAACATATAGAGGAGAAGTTGAAAATTTCTTTCTGTTACTTCAAAAGCAAAATGAGATGCCTTTTATATTTGGATGGAAGGGTTATGGAGGTAAATCTAGATTGTTGCGTGAACTCCTTAATTCCCAAGTGGTTCAGTTGAGGATGAGCATTAAGTTCTTTAATGACTATTGGTTAAGTTCAATTAAAAAGAGGTATTTTCAGTCATAGCAGTGACTATTTAGTGAGCACCTACTATGTGCCATGTACTACGCTGGTCACTTTACAAACTTTCTCTTCAATGATTGAAATGCTTTTGGAAAATAGGTATTATTATTCCTATTATGCAGGTTTGAAAATTGAGACTCACCAAATTAAACTGTTTTAGGAAGCTTCAGAGTCAGAATTTGAATTCCTTTATGAACTTCCATAAAGATTGCTTATTTCTGTATATACCACTCAAGCCATCAAGCCTGGAACACAGAAGGAGCTTAGTAAACGTCATTTGCTTTTTTCAGGTCAGTGATGATACAACAAGCTTCCCAGGAAACAACCACGAAGTCTACAGTGAAGCTTCTTTGTGTCTTGCCAAGGAATGTGAATAGCATCTCCAGACTGACCCTTTGGAAAACCTCGAAGTTTCTGAGTGACAGCAGCTTCCAAGTGACAAGTAAGGATCATGCTAGTCTCAATTGCAGGCTGTATTCTGCTGTTTTCTCCAAATATTTTCTGGTTGCAAATGTCATTGATCTGACAGTTGATTTCCTGAGACACATTAGTTCCAAGCTGGTGCAATATGAAAGTCTCTTCCTAAGGAAATTGGCCTTGTGAGTGGCTGTCTCCTGGGAAGATCATGCTGTACTCATTGCTTTACTAATATGATGAAGAGGCCGCAAATACAATTAGTGGGCCTGGTTGGTGATTTTCCAATAATGATATTTGGGGCATATTATTGGTTTAGCTGTAATTGAGCTTAGGATGATCTGAAAACATCTAAACCAGAGTGAAAGTCATCCGCAGCTTTGGCTCCAGTGTAGATGCTCATGAGTGAGGTGGGCTGATTACTCTTGGATGTGCTGAGCCTGAGGGCATGGGCTCCTGGGTGGATGTGGCTTCTCTCAAATTTTGCTTCTTTTCACACCTTCACAAGTAAGGTGACAACTTTGTCATAATCTACCCTCTCCTGAATCCCGCCCCATTTCTTATCATTTGGAGTTTACTATATATTTTGTAGCTCTCTTATTTCTCATACAAGCTTGTTCAGTGTATGTTAAAGTCATTTTTGATAGGATTGTTAATGCCAGCTGTGAGAATAGGCAAGACCTGAAATCTCAGTGATCGAATATCACAAAGGTTTGTTTTTTGCTCACATAAAGCCTCAGGTGGGTTGGCAAAGGCTGTCTTCCACCTGGTGATTCACGGATCCAGTTTCCTTCTATCCTATGGCATCATCACCTCTGTATGTATCTATTGGAAGACAGTTCTCCCTGGATTTCTTGGGTTCTTATATGGTCTGGACCTTCCCAAGGAAAGGGTGCTGATGGGTTTCATTCAAGGCTGATGAATAGCAAATTGAAGATACAGAACCTTTCTCTTCCTGGAGACATTCCAAGAGGAGAAAGTTCCCTTCTTCCCTGGTGGTCAAGTGGTTAAGATTCTGTGCTTCCACTGCAGGGGACAAGGATTAAATCCCTGGTTGGGGAACTAAGATCCCATAAGTTGTTCAGTATGAGCCAAAAAAAAAAAAAAAAGCATTAAAGTTTGCTTTTCTTCCTGGAGGATATTTGCTTACCTTCTAGGCAGGAAACATAGAGTCAAGCTCCATGTCCCTGAGACATTTACTTACTTTCCAGGGTAAGAAGTAATCTTTCTCCACAGGGGAGAATAGGCAGGTAACCAGCAGCTTGATAGAAACTCAGCATCTCCCACGCTCAGCGTTCTTCTCCAGTGCTATAAGCCAAATAGAGGAGGCCAGACTCTTCTCACTACATACTGCTACCTAGTGCTGTAAACATACCTTCTTTCCTTTTCCCACCCAAACCTCTTTCATAAGGGGCTATAATGGGTCCCGAGGAAAGCAATTCTAGATTGCAATAGAGAATTACAGTGCAATTTATGGGCAAAGAAGGGGCCAGTTACAGGTCAGCTAATGGTGAGGGGATGCATTTGAAAGTTTCCTCTTTGAGTTATTAGGCCTTATTAAAATTTATACTCGACTACCATATGATTATCAATGTAATTTTCCAACACTGAGTGCGCTGGTAGTTTGCGAATATAACACTATGGCAAATTCATTATTTAAAGGCTGTTTATGTTAAATCATAAAATGCAAAAGATTTCTTAGTAAGCCCATTCAAATCCACAAATATTTTTGAGTGCTTGGACACTTGGGGTACATTGCACCTGAACAAGATACTATTCCTGTCTCTCAGAAACCTGTGGTTTAATGAAGAACTACTTGCCTTAACAACTATGCAGTCAAATTTATTACAGTAAGCTCAAAGGAATACGCATCTGTTCTTAAATCTACTCTGTCCCCTGTATTATGGGGCTTCCCCGGTGGCTCAGAGGAGGCACAGAAGACACAGGTTCAATCCTTGGGTCAGGAAGATCCCCTGGTGGAAGAAGTGGCAACCCACTCCAGTATCCTTGCCTGGAGAATCCCATGAATGGAGGAGACTGGTGGGCTACAGTCCATGGTGTCTCAAAGAGTCGGACACGACTGAGCAACTGAGCACACATGGACCCCTTTATTATGTGCTCATGATTCCAACCCAATTTTTTCTGTAAATATTCTTTCCACTTTCCAGTCCTGTCTCTTGATCCTTTTCTATTTCTTTAGGATCTACAAGCTGCCTAATAATTAAGTGGGGACTATGCTGGGCAAGACTTCTTTGGTTGGGAGTGACATAAACCAACTCAAGCTGGCTCAAGTCACAAAAGGGGATATTTAGTGAATCATATGAATGAACTATCAATGTAAGCTTCAGGCTCAGCTGGACCCAGGGACTCAGATGATGACATCAGGACTGTATCTTTCCATCTCTGTTTTCTTCTATACTGACCTTTTCCATATGGTAACCCCAGCAGTTCCATTATATATAAATATATATTTGTTTATTTATTTGGCAACAACAATCTTGGAAATGAAGAAATTCCCTGTACTTAAGTTTTTAAAAAATGTCTTGGATGGAATCAATCACTCTGACCAAGGGGAGGGAAATACTTTGGCCAGATATGGCTCACAAGTTGTTACGGGTTGAGTTTTGTCTCCCCCAGATTCATGTGTTGAAGTCCTAACCACAACCTCCCCCCACCCCCACTCAGTATCTCTTAAATGTGACTATATTTTGGAGGTAGGATCTTTAAAGAGGTAATTGTGGTAAAATGAGAGCATATGGGTGAGCCTCAATCCAATATGACTGTTGTCCTCATAAGAAGAGGAAATTAGAACAGACACACAGAGGGAAGACCTTGTGAGGACACAGGGAGAAGACGGCCATCTGCAAGCTCAGGAGAGAGAGAGACCTCAGAAGACATTAATCCTGCCAGCATCTTGGTCTCAGACCTCTAGCCTCCAGAACTTTGAGAAAATTTTTGTTGTTTAAGCCACCCAGTCTGTGATGTCCTAATAAACTAATATTAATACACAGTTTCAGCCCTGAAATTGAGGTGAATTTATTTAGTCCCTCTTGAACCTCCCTATTAGTAGAGAGGGGGTGGTTACTCAAAGGAAACCTAAGAGGCTATTACTACAAGGAATAATAATGGCCTAGTAGTGGAAGAATCCATATTGTCCACCATCTGTGTCAGATTAATAATAATGATCAGATATTCATTATGTGTTAGGGCTTGAGAACACCTTATAGTTAATATTAAAGCCTCATTAGGTGGATACTATTATTTCCCTCACTTAACAGATGAGAAAACTGAGGCACACACAAGTTAGATGACTCATCCAAGGTCACTCAGTGAGCAAGGAGCAGAGCCAGGATTTACATCCATACCTGTTTGGCTGTAAAAACCACAGCCTTTTACCACTATTCTCTTTTTAAAACCAATGATACTGTTAGCTTCCGATGCTCTTGCTTTTTGTCTTCCCAAAAATGAAAATGCTCTGACTTGAGGCATGGGAAGGATGTATGTTAATATGTTAATTAAGGAAAATTCACTGTTTGCAGAATTCAGAAGTCTTTTTTCAGAACTGTTTCCGATCTGGGCAAGCCTTTGACTGATTCGAGTTAATTAGCTTTGCAGAACATGAAGTAATTGCTGTTGTTCCTGAAAGCTGGGGCTAGGAAGATACCCAGTGACCTGTAACCCCCTCAGCCCTACCTCCTAAGTCTGAGGATCAGAACTCCAAAGGCTCAGCAAAGAGACAAGATGGAGAAATTCATCATTTCAGCTGCTTCTTTCCCTCATGTGTGTTTACTCTGTTTTCTGTCCCATGATTAACAACACAAGCCTCATGCCTGTCTGAATTGGTGAACTAACATCTACAGTTGTGTAAGGAATCTGTCCTGAATTTTATAAATAGGATTTCCAGTTTGAACTACATAGGCTGATATTTGAGCATTTCACTTAGGAAACAAATTTAGAAAACACCAGACCCATTCATGGTCATTGTGTCTTTTTCCAAGTGGTTTTGATATTTCTGTTGAAACCATCCGGTGACCCTATATATATAAATCCTAATAGTCTTTTGCAAGATTTATTGATTGCAAGAAAGGGCAATCCATAAAAATTAGTTCACAAACAAAGTTCAAGGGGTCTTTGTTGTTGAGTATTTATCATCTGAGTCCTGGAGATGATGGGGTTCTTTAGAGATATAAAAGTTGTCCTTCAAAGCTTACAGTAATCATATAACATTAATTGTTAAAAATTTTAATGATTAACACTAGCATGAATCCTTTTCTACAACACCATCTACCTTGTGGCTCAGTCTCTCTGAAGGACCGCCTGAATTTTGAGTGCCTGTCACAAGTCCTGGGAGGGGTTGCTGTTTCTTATAACCAGTGAGTCCTGTCAAAGAGAATCAGCCACTCACTGATGGTCTGACCCTGGTACATACACAGTATAAACCAGCTGCAAATGTTTGTTTGAAAATATTGCCCAAAGTGCAGGATTCCATGAGGTTGATGACACATGCTCAAAGAACAGAAAAACCACATACAACCCTTGGGAGTCTGGTGGGTTTAGAACAATCAATATTGATACTCAGCTGTAACCCACAGATTCGGCCACGATGGCTGTTGCAGTGACTGGGCTGATCATTTGATACTGACATACTGGTTATTCAGTGTTTTTAATATCCCTTCCCCCCAAAGAGTTAACAGTTGGAGAAAAAAAAAAAATGACAAGGAAAGTGACACGGTGAGCACTTCAAAAGAGAAAGATTTAAATATCAAAAGATTCCAGAAGGCCTTGGGAAAAATTGGTGAAGCCCTTGAATATTTTTTTAAATGACCTTTTTGCTATCATCCTATGAAAGCCAAAGCTGAAATGAAGGATTTTGTCAGAAAAATTACACCAAAAAACCCCCCTGACTACTTAATTTACTTTTCACTCTTCATAAGAATTCATATGTCATGGAAGTGGTAACCTAAATTGTGTTAGGTTGATAAGCTTTAGTTTCATTTTTCAAGATAAAGTTCCAGCTCAAATATCCCC